AATCCAGACATAATTAGATCTGGGCTTGTCACAATTAAACCACTAGACATCTCAATTTTTTATTGCTTATTTTTCCAAACACAATGATCTTCGATACGGTAAATATGGTTGCCATTTCAATGATCAGTTTCATAAAAAACAGTGACTGGCTTCAAGTCAACCGGAAAGTTTTCTGCGTTCACGACTGTTTTAACAGACCACAAGTCCCTACATCAAGAATAGACGCTGCACATAATTTGCTGAGGACAAACTGGAAGTATGTTGGTTAACATTACTTTTGACTTTAAATGTTAGAATACTAATTCTCATGCCTGCCCTATAGGACCCAAGTAGTCAAGCATGAAGGACAATCAATCCATGTGCATGAATACAGCACAACCAAGAGTCATGCAACTTAAGACCTCCCCGTATATGATACCTCTCATGCACACACAATTCTATCCGGTAAATCAGTAGAAGCAGAGTCTTATTTAATCAAAGGAAGAATTATACCAAAGGCCTTCTAAGGATTGTCATTTAAACACCTAAATTCCCTAGTATTTAAAATATTGTACACAGAATTCTAAGATTTATACGCGAGTAATACTTAGACTCCTGTCATCAATGTCAATTAGTATATTCGTTAGTAAATTACACTTAAGACTTTCTAAAGTTGTAGGTCTGTAACACTTAGACTTCTCAAATTTAAAATATTATACTTAGACTCCTTATTAATTACAAAATTAACGAAATCTATTAAATGATCAAATTATTTCAATTCACGATAAAAGATGTTGTGTCAATTACAATTTAGCTCCTTTTTTTATCTGTATGAACCCTTCAAGAGATTATAAAATCATCATCATTTATTAAAACTAAAATTGAGATTACAGTAAATTCATAAAAAAAAAAAAAAAAAAAAACTTAGACGACAAAGAAGAAGGAGAAAGAAGAAGATGGAGTTACAGAAATGTTTTTATCCCAACCCTTCAAGAGATTATAAAATCATCATCATTTTATTAAAACTAAGGCTGAGATTATAGTAAGTTTATATTTAAAAAAAATAAATACACTTTTTTAATTAATATTACACTTTTTTTGGTTAAAAGTATCACTTTTTGTTTTGTAAATATTACAATTCTTTTGATTAAGATTAACGCTTTTTGGTTAACCTTACAACTTTTAGGTAAGAGTATCACTTTTTTGGTTAACAGTATAATTTTCTTGGTTAAGATTATCATTTTTTTGGTTAACATTACGACTTTTTTGGTTAAGAGTACTATTTTTTTTTGGTAAAAGAACCATTTTTTTGGTTAAATTTATCACTTTTGTGGTTAAGAGTATCACTTTTTTTGTTAACATTATAATTTTTTTGGTTAACATTACTATTGATTAGGTTAACATTACCAATCTTTTGGTTAACATTACACTTTTTTTGGTTAGAAGTACAATTTTTTTGGTTAACATTACCATTGATTAGGTTAATATTACCACTCTTTTGATTAAAATTACACTTTTTTTGGTTAAGAGTACCAATTTTTTGGTTAACATTACCATTTTTTTGGTTTAGAGTATCATTTTTTTAGTTAGCATTACCACTTTTATAGTTAACATTATCACTTTTTTGGTTAAAAGTACTATGTTTTTTTGTTAGCCTTACAATTTTTTTGGTTAATAATAACATTTTTTTGATTAAGAGTACCACTTTTTTAATTTGGATCGCTTATGTAGAACTAATCTCGATCCCTAAACTAATTTTGATCGCTCAACTTGCAATCAACATTTTAGCTTGTCCAATAAATTTCGCTTATACCTCTAAAGTATCACCTTTTTTTTAATTTTTTTCTCATATTTTTCATATTACATCCTCAACTATGTAATTAATTTCATACTACCCCAAAATTTTTTACTTATTTTAATTTAACACCAAAGGTTTACCCCAAATATGATAACTTTGTTATAATTTATTTAGTGGTGAAAACTTTGTTGCAATAATTTTGACTTAACCCAAAAGTATTTAAATTTCATGTAATTAACAAATTAATATTACATTAACACATTCCATTCATTAAATTAACATTAAAATTTAACTTAATTAATATTAAATTCATCCAATTTATTCCAAAAATCATCCGATTAACATTCAATTCATTCAATTAACATTCAATAAAAATTCAATTTATCAAATCAACACTAAATTAATATTATTTTTCATCAAAAGTATTTAAATAACATGTAATTAACAAATTAATATTACATTAACACATTCAATTCATCAAATTAACACTAAAATTCACTTAATTAATATTAAATCCATCCAATTTATTCCAAAATCATCCAATTAACATTCAATTCATTCAATTAACATCCAATAAAAATTCAATTTATTACATTAAGACTAAATTAATATTATTTTTCATCCATAGTATTTAATTAACAAATTAATATTACATTAACACATTCAATTCATCAAATTAATATTAAATTCAACTTGTAATTAATTAACACTAAATTAATATTATTTTTCATCCAAAGTATTTAATTAACATGTAATTAACAAATTAATATTACATTAACATTCCAAATCAAACAATAAAGATTCAATTTATCAAATTAACACCAAAATAACATACAATTCCATCTAATTAATATTCAATTCATCAATTTAACACCAAATTAACATTCATTTTTTATCCAATTAACATTCAATTTAATCTAATAAACATTTAATTCATTAAATTAAAAATTAAATTCAATATGTTAACAATAAATTACTCGAATTAACATCGAATTAATATTGAATTCATTTAATTTGCATTAAAATTCATCCAATTAACCCTAAATTAATCAAATTAACATACAAAATTATTTAAAAAATATTCAATTTATCAAATTAACATTCATCCAATTAAAATTTAATTTATCAAATTAATACCAAATTAACATTCAATTCATCAAATTAATACCAAATTAACAATCAATTTTATCTAATTAACATTCAGTTTTTTCTAATAAGCATTTAATCTACGAAATTAACATTTAAATTTAACTAGTTAACATTAAATTAATCAAATATACTTTCAATTTCATTCAATTAACACTCAATTCATCAAATTAACATTCAAATTATCAAATTAACATTCAGATTTATCAAATTGACATTCAATTTCATCAAATTAACATTTAATTTCATCTAATTAATATTTAATTTATCAAATTAACACCTCCTTTTATGTCGTTCGAGCCTTGGAAATATTATAATGTGTTCAAGCCTTAGAAATATTATAATGTGAAGGTGTGGGGAAGAACTTCAAATGTTTTGTGAAATACAAAAGGGAGAATTGCACTTTATACCCTAAAATTTTTTTAAAAAATTATTTTATATTCTCAAAAATTAAATTTTTTACATTGTACCCTCAACGTATTAAAAAATTAATATTGTGATATTTCTGTTAGTTTTCGTTATTTATTCTGTCAAAGTAAATGAGCTGATTTTTTTAACGAAATAAATAACGAAAGTTAATAGAAGATCACATTATAACTTTTTTAATACATTAAAAGTGAAATATAAAAAATATAATTTTTAAGGGTATAAAAAAAATCTTCAATCTACCATAATGCAAAGTAAAATTTCCCCAAAACAAAAGCACTGATTAGGTTTTTTGAAAACTTTTCCATGGGAGCAATCTTCCAATAAGTTATAAAATTCTCAAAATTCTACCTATACCCTATTTCTTTTTATACTGCTGCGGGGACGGTTGCCTCCCACTGACTCAAATTCGCATTTAAATTTGATGGCTTAACTTATGCAAATATTTTTAAAATTTTAAAGTACAATAAATTTAATTATTTATATCTAACTTTTTAATCATTATAAATATTTTAAACTAAAATATTTTTACAGTAAACAATTTAACCACGACAAAAACACGAGGTACTCTAGTCTTAAAACGTTTGGTGTTAATTGTACCGGAGCTCTTCAAAGTATAAGATTTGTCTTATTTTGGTCCTCAATATTTTAATTACATCATTTTGGTTCTTAAAATATTGAATATATTTGTATGTGGTCCTTCAAGTAGATAACATCTAAATTATTAATGATTTTTTATCATAAATTTGTCATGTAATACCTAAATATGAGTAAAAAATAATTTAAGAAACTCTTGATCAAAATTTGGATAGTTCTTGACAAAAAAATGTATAATATGAATAGGTCTTGACCAAAATTTTGATAACTCATGATCAAAATTATATAATTTAGATAGTTTTTTGACCAAAATTTATGTAACAAATTTATAATCAAAAAAACGTTAGCAATTTGGATGTTGTGTGCTTGAGGGACCACATTACAAAATATTCAATACTTCAGAGATTAAAATGATAAAATTAAAATATTATGAATCAAAATAAGACAAATCTTATACTTTGAAGACCTCTGATACAATTAACCCAAACGTTTATGATGCTCTTAAAGGATGTAAGTTGATCTTCCGGTATGCTGGTTTACTTAAATTCAGCTTCTTAAACTACTGCTTGGAATCTCTCTACTTGTTTCTATTCCTAGTTGCAGAGCATTAAATGCTACAGATTTTATTGGTGGTCTGTCCAACTGGCATGGAAAAACTATACTTTGGGCTTCTCAACTGTCGTCCCCGACTCACACTATCCCATCAACTATCATATTTATCACATTGCCCTTTCGATGATTAATGTCTATTAATAGAAGTTGTTTGACTTTCTCTCTCAAATTATGTAATTTTATTTCATTTTGTGCTTACACGTGAACATTTTTCCTCCAAAAGGTAATGGACATTTGTTTTGAGACAATATGTGAAATAATCCAAGTAATTGAATGGTTAATATGAGTTTTAAAAGTTCAAGGGCAAAGTAAGATCGAAGACATAGTTTAAAAGGGTGAAAGTGTAAATTTTCTCACATGCTCCATTCCAGGTTAATGCATATACGGATCAATGTTTTGATATTAGACATAAAGTATTGAGCATATTAAGCTAGGATAAGAGATGGCATTGCCTAATGGGGAGCAATCCAGTGAGCTCCTTAATGCCCGAGCTCACATATGGAACCACATATTCAACTTCATAAACTCTATGTCACTCAAATGTGCAATTCAGCCAGGCATACCAAATGTTGTCCATGGCCATGGCCGGCCAATGACCCTCTCTGAGTTGGTCGACGCTCTCCCAATTAACCGGGCAAAATCCCTTTGTGTTTGCCGCCTCATGCGCATTTTAGTTCAATCTGACTTTTTTGTAATGCAAAAAATCTCAAAAAATGATGACGAAGAAGGCTATTCTCTCACACTAGCCTAGCCTCTCAGCTTCTCGTGAAGGATAATCCCTTCAGTCTGGCTCCATTTTTGCTAGGCATGCTTGATCTGAACTTGACAGAGCCATGACATTATGTGATTGAATGGTTCTGCACGGGAGAATTCTTGAAATAGATTGAGGTAGCGATTGCCTGTATGATGAACTTGAAACAACCACAAGGTCAGAAAAGGGGGCCGGGTGAACACCCGACTTATCCCCTCCTAAGCTTAAGTCAGTATAAGATTGGAGGCTTGAGCATAGTGCATTCTCTATCTCAGTTATGTTTTTTCATCACTTTATTCATTTTTCTAAGGAGTATTTATGTCTGGGTTAGCAATAAGTGTGAAGGCTTTATGTCCTATCTCAACATTTAATGGGCAATCTCCCTCTTGTATGACTTCTACCTTTTCTAACTGCTCAATTCTGAATTTTGCCTTCTGATGGTATGCCTTTATCCTGTTATCTCGAATCTCGAAGTCACCATTGATCTGATTTACTACCAACTGGGAGTCGCATAAAACTCGGAGGTGCCTAATCCCGATTGAGTACACAATATCAAGTCCTGCCAACATGCCTCGTACTCGATCTCATTATTAGACGCTTTGAACATCAATCTAATAGCTCGCTCTATTATGAATCCTTCTGAGCTGACCAGCACTATGCCTAACCCTACCCCCCCTTGCGTTCTAGGACCCATTAACATGAAGGTTTCAAATGTCATCATTGAAAGCTTTCACCTCTTGTGGGGACTCGGACACAGAGAACTCAACAATAAAGTCTGCCAGGATTTGTCCTTTAATCGAAGCACGGGGTTTGTACCTTATTCAAACTCCCCGAATTCCACAGCCCACTTGGCGACCCTTCATGACATGTCGGCTTTATGTAGAATGGGCTTAAGAGGCCAATCAGTCAAGACTTCTATGGCGTGCGCTTGAAAATAGTGTTGAAACTATTAACGCTAGAATAAGTTTCTCAATCAGCAAGTACCTTGTTTCGGCGTCAATCAAGGTCTTGCTCACGAAGTAGATGGGCCTTTGTGCTCCTTTGCTTTCTCATACAAGGGCTCCACTAACGGCCCCTTCAGAAACAAATAAGTAGATGTTGAGTGCTTCCCCCGCCATTGGGACAAACAAGGTTAGAGGACATTTCAAGTACTCCTTAATCCCCTCAAGAGCTTGGCCACATTCCTTGTCCCAAGTACCCTTTGTCGCCCCCTTAAGTATGGCAAAAAATGGATTTACCTATCGGAGGATTTGGAGATAAATCGATTGAGGGCCGCTAGCGTTCCAGTTAGCTTTTGAATATCTTTGGTGGTCTTCGGCGTCTGGACGTTCTGCACGGCTTGTATCTGCTTGGTATTGGCCTCAATGTCCCTGTGGGTGACCAAGTACCCCAAGAATTTTCCCGAACTCACCCCAAAAGTACACTTTGAGGCATTAAGCTTCAAAACGTTGCTTCGAAGTATGGTAAACATAGTCCCGAGGTCTTGGAGGTCATCGGCGCTCTCCTTGTTTTTCACCAGCATATCATCGATGTACACTTCCATAATCATTCCAAGTTGCTGTTTGAAAATCTTGTTCATCAAGCATTGATAAGTTGTCCTGGCATTTTTCAACCCAAACAACATCATCGTGTAGCAATAGATCCCTTGGGGCATAATGAACTCTGTTTTCTCTTGATATGATTCATGTAAATGGATTTGGTGGTAACCTGTTCGAGCATCCATGAAGGTGATACGTTTGTGGCCCGAGGGTGCATCCACCAGTTGATCAACCTTTGGTAGTGGATACTTGGCCTTAGGGCATGCCTTGTTCAATTCTGTGAAATCCACGCAAACTTGCCACTTCCTCTCTTTTTTCTTGGCACACACGTGTTGGATAACCATTGGGGGAACTACACCTCTATGATGGAGCCTGTCCCCAACAACCTATCCACCTCTTCATCTACGGCCTTGACTTGATGAGGTGTCGTTCTTCAAGCCTTCTGTCTTACGGGTTTGAAGGATGAGTTAACACCTCGGCACTTATCCTCGTCATCTCGGTTTGTGTCCACACAAAGAAGTCAACGTTTTGGCATAGGAACAAAATCATGTCAGACTTCTTGGCATCGTCTAGCGATGTCCCTATCAAAAAGTACCTCTCCTCGTCGTCAGGGTTTAGAAAAACTTTGACCAGGTCTTCAGTGGAACGATTGTCTGGTTCCATAATGAGTTCATCCACCCCAGATTGAACAAATTGTGATTGCTATTTGGCAACCACTGCTTCGGGATCACGCTCTTGAACTCGGCTACTGACCTCAGTCTTTACCGCGACGTAGAAATAGCTTTTTCAACGACGCCTGATCACCATGGATCTCCATAATACTCAGAGTGGAAAATTTGATCTTTTGATGATAAGACGAGTGGACCGCCCTCATCGTATGCAACCATTTCCTGCCCATAATGGCATTATATAGGAAATTTGAGTCTATCACTACAAATTCAACCGGAATAGTGATGATTTCGACACACACCATAAGAGTGATTTTTCCAAGGATAAGAGCATTGAAATTATTGAAACCTATGAGGGGGTCCTTATAGGTTCCAGGTCTTTCAGTGTGAACCCCATCTTGCAAAAGAGGTCATCATACAACACCTCGGACAAGCTACTTGAGTCCACTAAAATCTTCTTAACATAATACTTATCGACCAGCAAGGTGATTACCAATGAGTCTTCATGCGGGAGCACTAACCCACCCAAGTCGACATTGAAAAAGTGAATGACTTCAGCATCGTGGTTTCTTGGATGATTGCTCTTCACACCTGCTTTCTTCCACTTTTATTGCTTGTGAGACCTTCCGCAGCTCAACTTGGAAGGAGTTATACGTTTGTCTCTCAACGGTGCAGACATGTATGACGTCAATCACAGGTGCTGCTTCATGAGATGTGTCAGCCCATCTCCCAGTCGAACCCACGAGAGCTCTTCTATCAATAAACTCTCCCAGATGCCCTTCTTAGACCAGTTGCACGAGGAATGACTTATACACCCTGCATTCTTCTATCAAATGCCCTATATCCTTATGATAAGAACATAGGGATGTCTTTCCTTCATTGATGGGTCTCCTTGTATCCTGGGGGGCCATTTGAAGAAGGGCTTGTCCTTTATCTTGTGCAGCATTTTATAAATGGGCTCTTTGAAGACCGTGTTCACCCCTTGAAAGGAAAAGCGATTCATAGGCGGGATGGGTGCCCCTCTCCATGCAGGTGGCTCCTTTTCGCTCTTCCTTGGCACAGGGGCCCTATTCTCAGGCATGACATATTCTTCCTCCGCCCAGGAGTACTTGTTTATCCAGGCCATCAGGTTCTTCATGTCTCCTAGAGCTCTTTTAGTAATTGATCTGTAGAGGTTAGTGTCTCGGGACAATCCCAGCCGAAATGATGCTGCGACCATTGCCTTCGAACATGCTTTGACTTCGATGACCTCCTCCCAGTACCGGATGACGTACTGTGGGGGGGACTCTCCATCTTTCCATTTGAGCATCAATAAAATGCCAATGTCTTTCGGCCTTTTACTGCTAGTGAAGAATCAAGCTACAAAGAGCTCGGTAATCTGCCTCCAAGATTTGATGCTCTCAAGGTCCAAGTGTTCATACCACTTCATGGCAGTGTACCCCTGGCTCATGGGAAAAACTCGGCCCAGTACCCTTTGATCCATGTCATAAATGGACATCAACTGCTTGTACTATCGTAGGTGACTCTCAAGATCCGTCTTCCCATCATAAACTTTGAATTGGGGGATGGTGAACTTCTTTGGAATTTCAATCTCTTTGATCGCCCGCACGTATGAGGAAATGATTTGCTCGTCCTCGTCTCCATCTCCCTCGTGTTTGGGTCTATGGTGTCTATCATCGAGGTGTGCTCGGGGGTCCCCTTGGGGTTTTCCTTCTCTTGGCCTCCTCGTCGTGGACTCCACTTGGGACTCAGTCGCTACGGTATCTCCTGGTAACCCACGACGGAGATCCCACCGGGACAGGTCCGTCTTGTGGTGATCCCACTCTGATCCCTCCTCGGAAGTAGGCTTTCCCTAGCTTTGTGGGTTATGCTGCTCGGTCGTGCACCTATGTGAGCTTTCTCCAGAGGCATCTCGCCTTACACCCCTGGAGTCGCCTTGACTGAGACTTCGGTCCTCCCGCTTACCGCTTCGCTAACAAGTATTCCCCAACTCCTCAAAACCATCGAGCCATCGTCTTACCTTAGCATTATCCTTCTCAAGTTGCTTGATGCACTTTGCCATCCGCTTCTCCACCAACTCAACGATATCACGAGCCAAAAGGCCTTACCCTCCAAGGCCTTGGTCTATGTGGAATCTTCATTGCGAGGAATGCTCCACTTCGCTTGACTGGTCCAAGGGGCTTGATTCCGTGACTACTAGAGTTAGGTAGCCTCCGCGTTTCTCACGTGTAAACTTCCTCCCCTATCACCTTGGGATCATTTGTTCACCATAATGTAACTGCTACGGGAAAATGTTCGTGTATATTCCCACGATAGATTGAGGTAACCGCAACAGATCGTTTGTTCACCATAATGTAACCGCTATAGGAGAATTCCTACAATAGATTGAGGTAGCAATCGCCTGTATGATGAACCTAAAACAACTACAAGGTCAGAAAAGGGGGCCGAGTGAACACCTGACTTATCCCCTCCAAATTTTAAGTCAGTATAAGATTAGAGGCTTGAGCACAGTGTATTCTCTATCTTAGTTCTATTTTTTTGACCCTTTATTCATTTTTTTGAGGAGCATTTATACCTGGGTTAGCAATGAGTGCAAAGGCTTTAAGTCTCATCTCAACATTTAATGTCTGACACTCTTACCCATACGCAATGAGTGTTCTTAACTCAAATCTTCACATCCTTAATGCTCGAATGATAGGACAAGTGTTCGGGGCCACACTAAGAACTTATGGCAATCCCCCGGGAATCCAAGTTCCTTTGATCGACGTCTGAAACCTACTCTAGAGTGTTCAATGCTTGGGGAACGATACCCCGGGGCACACCGAGGAGGTATACTTGGCGTGATAGCCATTAATGCCTAGCAACCATGACTGTAGGCTTATATCTTGAGGATGCTTGGGGTCATTAATAGTCCTGTCTCGGTCATTCACTTCGCCATAAATGAGTGGTCGAGTCATATTAAATACGGGTGTCAATTTGTGTACTCGGCTCCTCCGAGCCATTACTCCTTGGCGCCATTCCTCGGCACCTCATGAGTTTCATAATAGTTATACCTTCACACATCTCAATTTGGGGGTTGCTGAGTCGCCTGGAGTCCCGTCAGGTTCCAAAATGAAGATGGCACAACATTTGAAACTGCCCATGGCGGGGCATTTTGGGCATATGTAGGCCATGAACCCTTAACCATTTTTTTAATGACGCCATGGCTAGTTATGCCAAGTTGGTCACAAGTATGGTGATTAGAGAATGTAACGAGTGAATTCCTTGGTAGATGTTGGGGGCGGCACTAGGGCAGTCGAAAAGGCCATTGCCAATGCATTTCCAGACTTGGAGTGCACTGTGTTTGATCTTCCACATGTTGTTGCCGGCTTGGAAGGGAATAAGAACTTGAGCTATGCTGTGGGAGATACGTTTGAGGCTATTCCTACTACGGATGCTGTTTTACTCAAGGTAGGTAGTGAATTCCTTTTCATTTGTATTGGGTTAGTTGAACTTTTCCCCCATGGAGTTTAAACTAATACCTTTTCAGTCCTTAATTTTTTTTGTGGCCAATTTCAACTTCATTTTCCAAAAAGGGAAAAAAAAAAGCTACATTTTGTGCATCACAAGTGCTTTTTTCCAAGGAAAAGTCTACCCTACCGACTCGATACCTACCAAATAATTTTAGCAAAAGTTATGGTGGTTAGGGCAGAATTGACACAGCGGAATTTATGAATAATTCGTATTGCATAAAAGAATATATATATGAATAATCAAAATCTTAATTGTCCCCATAATAAAGGTAAAATCCTTAATTATATGAAAATTACCAAAAAAAATTACAATCTAACTAATTAACATAAAGGCACATGTCTTATGAAATCCAACCCAACTAACGTTACAGAATTTAGAATTTTTTATGATTTATTATTAATTTTCAAATTCTTTCTTAAAATGGCAAAAATAGAATTTTGAGGGTCTAAACAATAGAATTCAATCCAAAACTGAAGGAGCTCATGACAAAGCATGGATCTTGATCGTTACCCTGATCCAAATCAAAAAGTACTAGTCTCAATCAATTCTGGGTTCGGACCATTTTGCCACTACTATTACCTTTTTGCTTTTCTTTGGGTCTTGACCACATAGCAATATTTCTACTCCAAGTAATCAACAACCACTTATTCTATATCATGAATACAGTCTAAAAATTTAAAATTTATTCCCATAGAGTCATAACTTTCCCTGTTTAACTTAGAACTTGAAATAATTGAATCATAACTTTTGATACTATGCCAAAATATTAGCATTGAAAGCACTTTTTTTTTTCGTAGATGGACATGATATGTTGACAATTTAGCTAGCAAACTAATGTTCTCTTTTTCATTTTTATTATAGACCCTTTTTGTGATTTTAAATTTTCTAATTAATATTGTAATGATTGTGAATGGATAACAGTGAATATTGCATGATTGGAGCGATGAAGAGAGTCTTCGTTTACTAAAAAATTGTAAAGAGGCGATCTCCATTGAGAGTAAAGGAGGAAAGACAATTACTGTGCGCGACTATTTTATGCAATAGATAAAAAGACAGATCTCTCTAGTGGTGAACTCGTTTCTTACCACAAGAATCCACTATCCCATGGTAAAGGAAGACCCAAGATGGCCAATAGGGCCTAAGGAGTGATGATGAATTGCTTCAGGGTCTGTACGATCGATTCCGACGAGTCATAAGTGGTTTCTGGCAAATAGAAAACGGGTTAGAAGGGCACCAAAGCTTTTTTTGGCGTATTCCCTCCGACGATCAAGTCAGTTCTTTGAGAGAGGGGAAAGAGAAAACACTGTTTGTTGTTCTTTTTAGATGAATTTGCGTACCCTTGCTTTGAGTTTCAGAGAGCTATTTATACCTTCCATGAGCTCATCATTACTAGTAGGTGAGGCAGTAGGTGGGGTCCAGTCATTGGACAGTGTGCCCCCTGTTCTACATAGGGGAGACCCCGTTATTAATTGCTTGGACTCCCGAGAATTTAATGTTCTTTCTTCTATGCGAAGGCATTGAATGCTCGGGTCTCAGAGCCTTTAATGCTCCTCCTTCTTAACTTCAAAAGCTATCATGGATGTCCCATCATTCTGAAAGATCATTAATGCTTTTCTGGGATGACAGTATGTCCCAAGGGGTACTTTCATCTTTTTACCCCTAATCTTGTTCATTATGTCACATGTTTCACTCTCTTTGGCTACTGGTCTCTTTTCTTCTGTCACCCTTACTTTGTTGAAAGAGTAACCCAATGATTCCTAGTCTAGCTCTGAGACTGATTGGCTATGATAGTCAGTAACCCATCTAGGAATCACGATGACGTGTCTAGAATAGGAGATACCCTTAGTGCCCACGACATGTGACTATACCTCGGAGGGGGTTCCCTCGGTGCCGAGGACACCAGGAAGTACGGGGTACATGAGGTGCCCTAGGTGTTGAGGACACATGTCAGTGTCAAACGAAGGACATGCCTCGGTGATTAGGACACGTGTTAGAATGGAACAAAAGGTGATTTAGGTGCCGAGTATGTGAGGCTTCATCAAATAAAGGAGGTGCTTTCGGAGCCGAGAACATGTGTCAGACTCCTATCCCTTCATAGAAGTGTCCCATCAACTGCCCCAGCCCTTGATCTTCGTACGACATGGGAGACGTGTCACTTCAGAAGATGGAAGGGATCAACCACCTTATCATATCATAGCCAAAATTTTGCCTCCAAAGGTCATGCGCATTCAATGTGTAGCCTCTCTAGTCTTGTGCACAATGATGGGGATAGGCCACATATAAACAGGTCTCAGGCCCCCCTTCTTTACTTTCAAAACCTATCAACTTCAAAGAACAGAAACTCACTGCAATTCTATCGGAGCCATCGCCAACCACTTATTTTGCTGCGAATTTCCTCACCATTTCTTGATGACGAAGGCCCTTGACTACTACCTCAACATTTTCTGAGCCTTTGTGAGTTTACTCATCCCATTTGTTGTCTTTTAACATCTCTCCTTTTTCTTTCTATTTTTCCAGCAATCCATCGCCTTCCAACTTCTTTTTCCCTAGTTTCCATAGGGTAGTGCGGTCTTTTCACATTCCTCGCATCACTTCATTTTCAGTGGTATCCCTTAGGTCCGACAATCTGAGAGAACACTCCAATAGAACCTTTTCCTTCCTCCTGAGATATGCCAAGACGTCGTAAATACACTGTCAAGGGCCGATAACAGATAGTTAATTTCAAAACCTACTACTCCATTCCCCCTGAAGTGACTGTAGATGAATTTAAGGTTGGTCGCCACAGTGCCACTGTTGGCACCGACACCGAGATTCCTTTTTACACCAAGGCCATAATGGAGGAGGGCATCAGGTTCCCTCTTCATCCTCTCCTCCTTTGTTTCTTATCTTAGTTTTGACTTTTCCCGGACCAATACTGCCTTGACAAGTTCAGGATCATCATGGGTGCGGTTGCCTTGAACAAGCGGTTGAACCTGCACCTCGGTTTGGATGACATCCTCTTTTGCTATGCCTTGGTGAGGTTCATGCTTCAGCAAATGTATTACCTTAAGGCCTGAGACCCCACAATGTACCTTGTCACCTATCTTCTAGATTCTGACAAGGGGTACAAAGATGACTTCATCTTCGGCAGTCAAAAAGAGAGGGGGCCCGGTCCCGAGTATTCTGCTGACTTGTGGTACCCCAAGCAGTGGAGGACTTTGAGTACATTGATTCTTCTCTCTCATTCTTCAATATAGTTTCTTCTCTTGCATGCCTTAGCACCTATATAACTAATAATTACGAAGTTGTTGTATCAGGAATCCCCGACGTCGAGACAGTCGTTCTCCCTCGCAACCAAGTCAACATCGACGACATTACCGCCATCTGGAATTACTTGGGAAATAGGGGCGTTGGTCGAGCAGCTCACCTTCTTTTTGATTATGTCTCGGGGTACAAGAAATTCACCTAAACTCCACATAACTTCAACTCGTTGGCGGAGGTAGAGTTTGAGGCGGAGAACTTAGAGAACGACCCCGATAGGGCCATAGCTGCAGAGGTTGAAGACGTCCCTGAAGACGAAGCAACCAAGGTAGGAGGCCACGACAAAATTGTTGAAATCAGAGGCCCTTTAACCGCTACTGACGCCGAGGCTAGAACATCTGAGAGGGAGGCTTGGCCAAATTTTGAGATCCTTCACAACTTGAACGTAGAAGACGCGCTTGAAGTTGTGATGTCTGAATATCACATATATCTGAATCTCATCAAATAACGAGCAACCCTCAGAGCTGCAAGGGGTTAGGGATCCAGTTCCAACGAGTCTCCTCCTCCATCATCCAGAAGGACTCCTTTTATCAATGTCCCTACACCTCCTCCACCTCTGAGGTCAACAGGTCATGGCCGAGGCCATGAGAGAGATCCTTAACTTGAAGAAGAGAGGAGGGTCAAACATAGGCACAAAGATACCGATCGTGGTAGGGGTACTCCTATCCCCTCAACAACAACATCTTCTACATTAATGATGCCTCCATCTCCTTCGTCTGCGCTGACAACTCAAGTCGAGGAGTGGCGTCCTCGAGCTCAGGATCGTGACAATATATTGTTCCAAGTCTTTGAATCTATCACCAATTCTCCTCACATGGCCTTCACCATGAATGAGACCCTCCTCTTTGGTGCCTATATGGAAGTGCACAGGGGGAGGCTAATCAACCAAATCTTCCACAACATCATCCAAAGCTCCCTGGTGGTAAGTGCTCAGGCAATTGTCCTCTTCCTTTCTCCTTCTCAGATCGCCAAATCATTGTGACTCCCCTTTTACTCTTTTATCAGACTATCTAGCAGATCTCAAACATCACTGATCTCTACCACACTCTCTTGTTGTGATTCGAAGATTCTGAGAAGCAAAAAGTCGAGGCCCAAGGAACACTTTCCACAGCAAGGAAGGAAGTGGCAGCTAGGGACAACACCTTGACCTCCCAAGCTTCCTAAATTGCTGAGCTCCTAAAAGAGGCCAAGGTGGCCAAGGAAAACGCCGACAAGACAAGCGCTGCTCTCGCCGATGCTGAGAGAAATATTACTGAGTCCACCAAACAACTCTCGGCATTGGAGGTTTGGGTGGCATAGTTGGAGCAAACCTGTTCTGCGCTTACCCAGGAGTTGGAGAGGGTTTAGGCTGCACTAGAGGTTGCTAGTAAGACTCGATAAGAGATCATAGATCAATGTGCTGACGACATACTAGTGGCCTTTAAGGAGTAGAAGAGGGAGTACTTAAAGCAGGGATGAGATGAAGCCTTGAAGGTCCCTAGCGTGCCTGAGGACTCTCCCCTATTCCAGGAGCATATCTATGTCCCCTTTGCAGAGTTACTAGTAGCTTCTACTGAAAATACCCAAGTGCATAGCTCGGCATAAGTTGCAATAGATGTAACCCCGACGTCGGCCAATGCTGCTCCTTTCTCGGCCGTTCCTCCTACTTCAGCTTTGGCCTTGGTCACTCTGCCTGCATTTGCTGCGGTACCTCGAACCGATGCCTCTGTTGCAGATACTCTCTTTGCCAGCATCGATGAACTTTTTGGAGACATTAGGGGCAACATCGGTAGAGATGTGACTGGGCCTCTAGCGCGCTAGACTTTAGCCTTTTTTTTTTTGTAATCTTTCCCTTGTCTTTGTAGCCTGGGAGACGCGAAGCCCCCTTTTCTTTTGAATGAAAACCACTTTGTTTTGTTCATGCATACTTCCTATTCTCTTCATTTTTTTGCATACTTGTAATTCCAAACTACGAAATTTCTCAAGTGTCAAACCTTAGGCCTAAAGAAAACTTTAAAAGTCAGTACTTGTACATTTCAGATGGAGTGAATCTCTGGTGGCCCTCAATGAGCATTGGGGCCGAGGGGGATTGACGCCAAGGAAATGTGTTAATCATGGAGGACCCCGAGGGGTACTTACGCCGAAGTCCCCTTCACATTGTTTATCCCCATCTTTAGGATATGGAAATAGTAAATCTGCATACTTTTTCAGTCTAGTTAGCTTCATTTTCCTTGTTTGTCGAATCGAGAAGATAGCGTTGATCCCTCGTCGCATCATTATCTTGCTTGACAATTTCACCCATGTACTTGTGGAAGCAGTCACCAATGTCTAGGTACAGGGGTTACTATTCCCACAGTGATGCACTACTGTCTTGGGCTTCACTTCATCGAAACTAATTAGTTTTGAGATTTATGAGGAAACATAATTGGTAGTCACCCACATTAGGTGTCATCTATTCTTCCATAGATTTTCCCACTAACTCTTAGAGGAAAGGTTATCACGGTGCTTGGGCAGGAGGGCATATAGTATTTGGACAACGTATCCTCATTCTGAGCAACATATTTAATGAGAGGTATTCTGTTAAGACCTTTGGGAGCTTTTTCATGGGATACCTGCTCCCTCCAAGAGGCCATGCTTCCGTTTCTTTATTTAGAGGCACGAGTCCCCGAAATTCTGCTTCTAGGGCCATGCCCCTTTTAGGAGGCATGCTCATGTTTCTTATTTTGGGGTAGGAGTCCCTAAGACTCAGTCCCCCCCCAAGGCCATACCCTCTCTAGGAGGTATACTCATGTTCTTTATTTAGAGGCAGAAGTCCCTAAAACTTTGCCCCCAAGGCCATGCCTTTTCTGGGATAATATACTTAGCATGAAAATGAGCTCTTACTTATCAAAAGTAGTATTTCTTCAGATTCATTATATTTCAAGGTCGTATTACAGCATTCCCTTCTATGTCTTCTAGCCTATATGACTGGAAGCCTCCCATGTGAATTTGAATGGGCCTTCCCAGTTGGGTCCCATCTTTCTGTTTGCTAGATCTCGGGTGTTTGCTATCACCCTTCTAAGCACTAGAACACCTAACCAAAATTCTCGGGGTTTGACCCTTTTGTTATAGAGCTTGGACACCCCCTCCTGATACTTAACCAATTTTAAGGCAACTACTTCCCTTCTTTCCTCCATGAGGTCCATATCCAAGCTAAGTTGGTGGTTGTTGTCCCCAGCGTCGAAGGCTTGTGTTCTTATGGTAGGGAGGCCTACTTCCAACGGGATGACTGCCTCCACTCCGTCTGCGAGAACGTAAGACGGTTCTCTTGTTGAGGTTCGAGGGGTGGTCCTATATGCCCAAAGGATGTTCAGGAGTTCATCCACCCATTTTCCTTTGGCCTTTTTCAACCTTTGCTTGATTCCATTGGTGATATTCTTGTTGGTGGACTCTCCTTGTTCGTTAGCTTGCAGGTATGCAGGGGTAGAATAGTAGTTCTAGATTCCAAGGTGCTTATAGAAACACTTGAAGGGCCCGCTATTGAATTGAGTCCCATTGTTTGATATGAGAGCACGGGGGATTCCAAATCTAGTCACTATGTTTCTCCACATGAACTTCTAGGTGTCTATGTCCCTAAGGTGAGTCAAAGGTTTCGCCTTGACCCATTTCGTGAAATAGTCAATTCCCACTATCAGGATCCTCTTGTCTCTAGGAACCCTTAGCAGAGGTCAGACCAAGTTGAGTCCCTATTAAGCAAATGGCCAAGGACTAGTTAGTGGTTGCAAGTCTTCGTCCGGCTGTCTGATGACTAGAGCGAACCTCTGACATTGATCACATTTTCAGACGTAGGCCTGTGCCTTCCTTTACATCCGCGACTACCAGTATCCTTGGGATATGATACGGTAAGCCATGGAGTGTCCACCTGAGTGCCCTCCACATATGCCCTCATGTACCTCGTATAGGAGTGGATCAACTTTATCTTCATGGACACAAAGCAGATATGGTCTGAAAAATGACTTTTAGTACAACTTCTGGTCCGAAGAGGCCTAGAACTTTGGAGCTCTTAACTTTATTCTCTTGGCCTCTTTGGGGCATTTGGGTAGCTCTTTGGAGAGGAGGAACTTGAGTAGTGGATCAATCTAGCTAGGGGACTTCTTTCCTTCCTAGAAGACAGCCACTCTAGGGATTTCATCTAAGGTGGAGTTGGGAAGGTATTCCACGGTGATTCTTTGTGTTATGATAGAATCCAGTGTCGAGGCCTGACATGCTAAGGCATTAGCGTGGGTATTTTTGTCTCGAGGAACTTGCTTGACCTCAACTTTCTTGAACTTGCAGAGTAAAGCCATCGTTCCACAGTGGTAAGCTTTCATCATGGGGTCCCTCATCTCAAAATCTCCATTGATTTGGTTGACTATTAACGTCGAATCGCAGTGGACGGTCAGCTATGTAGCTCCCGCCGCATCAACAAGTTTGAGCTCATAAATAAGGGCTTCATACTCCGCTTCATTATTAGATGCTTTGAAGCCTAGTCGGAGAGCTTGTTCTGTGACCACTCCCTCTGGGGAGACTAACAACACCCCAATTTCGAAACCCCTTATTGTTGGAAGATCTGTCCATGCAGAGGTTCCAGAAGGGTTCCTGGCTGGCCACTGAGGGTTCATTCTTTAGGAGAGGTGGCTTCTCTTCAAGGAGAGGGGGCTCCTTGGAAAATTGTGTTATGAAGTTTGCTAGTACTTGCCCTTTTATGGTAGCACAAGGTTTGAAGTGGACTTCATGTTCCCCCATCTCCACCGTCCATTTGGCTATTCTTTCCGAGAGGTTCACCCTTCTTAGAATTGCTTTTAGGGGTTAAGTCGTTAGGACGGTGACCAGATGTGCTTGAAAGTAATGTCTTAGCTTTCTTGTGGCCATAATTAGGGTCAAGGCTAACTTCTCTAGGGGCAAGTACCTTGTCTCTGCATCCAGTAGAGCTTTGCTTATGTAGTACACTAGTTTCTATTCGCGCTTGTGCTCGTCGACTAATACACCACTGATAGTGAACTCTGACACTACTAAGTAAAGGAACAACATTTCTCTCTCCGCTACGACAGAAAGGGTTGGGAGGACCCTGAAGTACTCCTTGATTCCTTCGAGCTCCTCTTCGCATCCATGACCCCATGTATCTTTCCTGGATCTCCTAATAGCCTCAAAAAAGGGCCTGCATTTGTCCGATGACCATGAAATGAAACAATTCAACGCAACTAACATTCCTGTGAGTTTTTGGACTTCCTGGACTATCCAGGGGCTTCGTACATCGATGATGGCTTGTATCTGTTTTGGGTTCGCCTCGACTCCACGTCGACTTACCAAGTATACAAGGAACTTTCAAGAACCAACTCCAAAGACACACAAGGCCGCATTAAGCTTTAACCCGTACTCCCAGAGGGTGGAGAAGGTGTCTTCTAGGTCCGTAAGGTGATCATCCTTCTCCCTACTCTTGACCGACATGTCATCGATATATACTTTCATAGTGTTCCCTATTTGTCGCTTGAACATTCGGTTCATGAGTTTCTGATACGTGGCTCCCGCATTCTTTAGGATAAAAGGCATGGTTGTATAGCAATAAATAGAGAGGAATGTTATGGTAACTAGCCCTGGCTTCCAGGAAGGTCATACGCTGGTGCTCTGTTGTGGCATCCACCAGCTGGTCTACCTTTGGAAGGGGAAAGTCATCCTTGGGGAAAGCCTTATTCAGGTCAGTGAAGTCTACGCAAATGCGCCACTTTCCACCCTTCTTTTTTGTGAAAACCGTGTTTGATAGCCATTTTGGACAAATGCATTTCTCAGCTGGTACTGGCTTTCTAGGAGTTTCTCCACCTCTTCATTCACCACTTGGATGTGGTGCGGCGCTGTACACCGAGGTTTTTACTTTACTGGTTTATGAGCAGAGTCAACATAAAGCTTATAAGTTATAACGTCGGGGCTTATCCCCTTCATTTTTAAGGTATCCTATGCAAATACATCTACGTTCCTCCTCAAAAAATTTGCCATCTCTTCATGCTCGGCTGGGGACATGGTGGAGTCGACCAAGAAGTATTTTTCTTCATCTCCCTCTACCAGAAGTACCTTCCAGAGATCCTCTACTTAGCGATCTACCAGATCAATCTACGGTTCATCGACTCTAAGTCACTCGGACTGTAATTTCTATTTGTTCAGGACCTCTTCTGGGGCTCGCTTCTTTTCCTTGGAGATGACCCCTGCCTTTACCGTCGAATATAAACAATTCTTGACGGATGCCTGGTCCATGCGGATTTCCCTCACTCCTGATGGAATGAGGAACTTCAATTTCTGATGATAAGTGAAGTGCACCTCCCCTAATGTATGTAACCATGCCTGTCCTATGATTATATTGTAAGGTGAATCAGAATCGATCACCACGAAATTCGTGTTAGTTGTAATAGGTCTGGTGGTCACTGGCAGCTTAATCTTGCCTAGGGACAAGGCATATGAGCTTTTAAATCTAATAAGGGGCGTGTCAACTTTGGTAAGATCTTGAGAACCAAGCCCCATGTCTTTCAAGACTTCGAAGTACATCACCTCGAAAGAACTCCTGGAATCCACCCGGACCTTCTTGACATCAAAGTCACCGATTTTCAAAGTTAGGATCAAGGTGTCCTCATAGGGGAGGACTGATTAGTGCTTAAAATTAGCACTTTACTATGCCTTTTTGGGACTAATTGTACTTTGATGGAGTTTAAGTGATGAAATTTTAGGTTCTAAAGTGAACAAAGGCTCAAGAATAACAAATATCACATTTGAGTGTAACACC